AGGGTTCAAAAACTTACAAAGCTTAAGAAACCAAAAGGATAGTATTTGCATTTTAAACAAACTATATATATTCATACACACACATCTATCATTATATATAAATCATCTATCTATCTATATGTGTGTGCGTGTATGTATATTTATATAAATATATATAGCAATATTCTGCAAATATGCCACCATCTTTCATCAATATTTAAGGTTTCTAAGTGTATTGCAGGATATATTATTAAAACAATTCACTAGCAATAAAAGGAACCTTTGTTTTCAATAATTTTTAATGTACATAATAGGTAAACAATTCTATAGGTTCTGTGATTCAAATTAAATATTAAATTACTTTAGACATACTGGACAAACATTTCTCATTCATTCATACAGGCTGAGTGAACGAATACATTGAAACATATGGTGCTGAAAACACAATAAAGGCTTGGCAACGATCAGCATAAGGCGCAAAGGAGAACGCCACTGCCTCCAATAAAAAATACAAACAATAGAAAGCAATATAGACAGAATGGGTGACGAAACCACAGCAGTTTTTTTTATAGCAGCCTCTCTGTAACAAATACCCCTTAGTTCCACTGTACAAATATTAAATAAAACTATCCTTCAAATACTTGAACCATTCTTCAAAATTAAAAAATCTTTCATTAGGCAATTGATCCCAAATAATATAGCACCTATATGTGACTATAGTACAAACTAGATGAATAAAAGTGTTTAGGTCAGGCTTCGAAGCCACTATGATCCTAACAAGGACATAGCACATGATTGGCCCTTGGTCTTTAAGTCTGTAACTGATTAGTTCCTGGTCTTCGAGCTCTTTCAGTAGGTGCGGCGGGTGGTATAGTCCAGTACCATGCTGGCGGCACCCAGCAGCGCAGGATCCTCGAGCTCAGACACCATGACCTTGGTCCCCTGCGCCGAGAGGAGAGCACGCTGGCTGATCACCTGACGAACGGGATTCTCATAGTGCGCCGCCAGGACACCAGACAGGATCACCAGAGACGGGTTGATCATGTGCAGGATGTTCACAATGCCCAAACCCAGGGCAGTTCCCGCTGTTAGGGAACAGAAGAGAGGCTGTCAGTGCTTTTCTCCACTACAAATCTGCTCAGAATAATGTATGAACTTGAATGTGCATTTTACCGGTGTGAAGAACACTCTCGGCTTTGGAGTTGCCGAGGTGTGCAGCGTTGATGAGATGAATAGCATTCACCTGTTCTTTGTTATTCACAGTCATTCCTTCCACCAACAGCAAGTCCTCTGCCATTAAACGTCAAAGAAACATGCAATTACAACGTTTTACTTTAACTTGGTAACATTTGATATGCACAACTCTTCTATTGCAAACCCAACCTTAGGACGATCCTATTATTTACTGATTCTGAATGAAACCATAAAAATCAAATCCTAGTTTATTAATTTTAGAAAAGCTTTGAAACAACTAGTTTCAAACTAGAAATCAAATGTTGCTAGATTTTAACATTAACTACCGTGTACAGTATAATTAAATGTAAAACAAACAAAAAAAGTATTTATTTTGATACAAAATCGTCCATCATTTCCAGTCCTCAAAGTAGCAAAAGCTGAAAAGAAAATAACAGGGATTTGTGGGAACAGATATGATTCAGCTTAATCGGTTTAATTGAATTTAATTGCATTTTTTGAGCTAGTTCTTTCAAATAAAATCACAGTAAGATTTTTTAATTTATTACACTAAAGTTAAACTAATGTTACTTCTAAACGTCTAAAGCATGTATTAATTTGTATTTCATTAATATTCTATAACACTGAAATATATATAATTTAATAATATATTATATTATAT